AATAATATATATATATATATATATATATATATATATATATATATAAGAAAGAAAGGATTTAGTGTCACTATGACAGTTTTCTATCTTCTCGTTTTTTACATTTTTTATGTTTCACGTTTCTGAGACATTCATAATACGTTTATTGAAACGTTCGTACTGCGTTAAAATCATGTTAAATTTATTTTCGCAATGCATTTACGCTCGTTAAGTCATCGTTGTGTATGTCGAGATATAAAAAATGGTATTTTTTAGAAATGGATTATTAAGAAATAATAATTATCTAATTTTATCGCAACATCGCAATTTTACGCGAAAGAAAATATGATATAAAATTTTTATATAAAATTTTAATACTGAATAATTATTTTTTGCATAGTTTACGTCAATAGTTATTTATTTATTTTAAATTAAGCATTATGATGGAAAATTTGTACATATAATGATATATAATAATAAATGTTTATTTTCAAGTAAATAAGTTAACGAACCTGTTCTTCCTTGCAAAAACTTTTAATTTGCTTCTCTTACGTAACGATTTATCAGGCAGTCTTCTTGGGCTATTCTCTCTCGTACTCAAGCTTTTGGCAGGACTTTGGGTGTGTTGCGTTCCACATCTTTTCTTAAACGCCATTCGTCTATTGTCCACATTGTGAAACGTCTTGCCATGCTGAAATCCACGACGCATCGCTTTTCGATCGGCGATCGTTGTCAAACGCGTCTCTCCTCGTCGAGCGATACGTCGTTTTCGTCGAGATTCGATGTCGACCTGTGTCGAATTGCAAGATGTTGTGTCCAAAGTCGGACACACACGGAGCACGTTACCTTGTCGATCAGTCGGAATCAAGTAACCCGATCTTACGCCGAATGATAGAGCTTTGCGAATGTAATTTTTAGCCTGACGCTTTCCTGCAATATAAGTAAATGTAATTTGTTGCATATATATATATATATAAATAATTTGACTTCGCCATTTAGAGTAATTTTTATGTGTTAATTTTAATGTATGTTAATGTTATGTGATGTTAATGTTATGCTCGATGCGGATACATCAAACAGATCTCACTTGAGATTTACTTGATACACATTTGATTAATATACTCATGTCTAAGAATCATCATTATACTCTCTCGTGTATCTCATTATATTTTCGTGTAAAAATTGTCTTGGCTTTTTATCAAATAATAATTTTTAAAATTATATACAAAAGCTATTTAAATCATTTTACTTGTTTTAAAAGGGTTGGAAAAGAAAGGAGTAAATGAGAGATGTAAATAATTTTAATTTTTCTCGGTAAATCGGAAGATGTACTTTGTACTTTATGTTAATATGAAATTTAATTTATCCATGTACATGGCCATTTTTTTACAAAAGTCTTTATAAAAGGAATAATCTGAAATTTACATTACCTGCTTTTACATTAAATATTATTTATTTTTACCACTACAACAATACACCACTACAACTATATACAACTATATACAACTGTACAAGTGAAAGCTTCACTTCACAAGTTGAAAAGTGTAACCTAACCTTCTTCGATACCAGCTTTGATGTAACTGTTAATGAGCTGCACCAAAGATTTTTTTCGCAAAAGCGCTTTGGCGCTGTTGAGTGAGTTTGCCAGTGTAATTGGTTCCATTGAGACATTTGACACGCTGCTGTTCGTAGAACTTATTGGTGCCGAACTACTCGCGGCATCCGTTATTTCCATCAAACTATCGGTGGACATAGGCCTAGATTCCATTGTGTATTCAGGTATTTGAAAGGATTCTGAACCATTACAGTGATCAACCACTTCATGTGGAAGCCTTTGCGGCTTATGAGATTTCGGAATTCTTCGACAGCACATGCCGAAGCGTTCCGAGGACGAACGTTTTATCTCTACAATCACCATGAGAATGTTGAATTATAAATCGATATGGTCTTTGGACTAACTAAGTTCTAAATTGATGACACAATTTTGATATATTTTATCACATACCGATTGTAATTATATATAGAAATATGTATAAAATTATATGTATAAAATTATATGTATAAAATTTAATTGTTCATATTGAATGTCATGCTTAAGCTATATTATTAGGTTCTAAATTGGATAATTCACAATGTAATGCTTAAAGCAGGTTAAAATAATTTTATTTTATGTTTAAATTTATTGCAGCTTATTTCGGTGTTAATTGTGTAATTATATTAATCGTATTACCTTGATTATATTTATCGATGGTGAGAAGTTCATAAACTAATTGAGGTATATTGACGGAATCATACGATTGCCGTCGATATGGAGTATCCGCCCGTTTACGTGCTAATTTAATTCGGGATCGAATCCCAGAATGCGGTACTCGTTTTATCCGCTTCTTTACGGGTGGGTTTCTCGTTTTTCGCTTTGAGGATGCCATTATTTGATAACGCGATTTCTTTTCCACGCGGCAAATTCGCGTCGCAAAAGCACACGCGATCACATAGTTGGCACTGACTTGATATAAAAATTGAATAATGCTCTTTCGTCATTCTATTCTAGCCGAAGAAGTTGATAATTATAATTAATAAATTTAATTATACATTATACAATTTTAATATTTTTAAGTTATGCGTGCACCCACGCATCCATCTCTTTCCCTCTCTCCTCACACGCACGCACGCACGCACGCACGCACGCACGCACGCACGCACATACATACAGATTTTTAATGAGATGAGAAAATAATTATGCAAAGCATCGAAGAGATTTTCTCTCATAGCATATTTCTTCTAATCAAAAATTTGTAAAATAAAAGAAAGCCTTTGATTGTTTTTTATATTTAATCAAAAAATAAGATCATTATTTTTATTCAAAAATTAAATTTATTTTTATAAAACATGTTGTAAAACATACGTAATATTTGTTTCCTTAGATAAAAGATTTGTAATTTTCTCTCTTGGAATTTTCTATCTGGAAACGATATATTATTAAAGTTTATAGTGGAATAATGTTGATGAGAGAAGAATATAAAGTTCCGATGATTACGACGTCCATTCGTTGGTGTCGTTGTTCAATTTATTGCTTTCTGATCGCTCTCTTCGTGAACTGTTAGCTCGATTTCGCAAATATTTTTCGCCAGATTTTTATAATATGTCATGCATACTTTTTTCGGTCTGATTATTATACATTATGATATTAATTATTAGTAATAATTTTATATTAAATTCAAACATAATATAATATATATTATGTTATTATTTAATATTCTAACGTATTATTTAATATTCGTTTAATGTACAGAATCGCCATTAATGTTTTTGTTAATAACAATTTTTCAATATAAAATATAGTCAGATCAGTGATGATCTTTATTTATTACGTAAAGCTCAGTATAAGCTTTTATATCTATAATTTGAAAATTACTAGTACACTTTGTCGGCAATACATCCATATCTATAGATATCCGTCAAGTCACAGTGATTTATTGCATACTCGTAACGCACGACGTATTTAGAGATTCAAGGACACTCAGTTAATACATGGATACAGAATTAAGTTTAATTACTCGATGCTCGTCCTATAATGGCTTCCGACTGGACGTGACGCGACACGGTAAGATTTCCTAATGCATTATGGAAGAGATCAGGAAGATAAAATTTCCGTTCCATGAGAAAAAATCGTGACATAATTGTGTAATTACATAACAATTTTAATCATAATAAATTTTTCTCTCCCTTGCCGCTTGTTTTTTATAAATACGATTAACAAATACAACAAATAATTTTCAATATTTTAGAAAAATGTTGCGTGTTCGAGCAATTTATAAAAATTATTTATTCATGGAATATTTCATGATTGAATTGTCGATGGAGTCGTGCTTCTATATAATTATAAAAAATTGTGTTCTATATGTATTGAAATTAGAAATCTTAAACTCTCTGGAACGATGAATGTGGATAATGATAATATAAATGACTCGTAAAATACACAAAGACAGCAGTGCAGTGCATCATTGTACTCTTAAAAAATGGAATATGATGAATCCTCATAATAGTCCATATTTAATATTTTCCATTTAACGATTCGTTTAATGTTTTCCGTTTGCCGATCCGAAAAGGTAAAACAGTACCGCGAAATCCATCACGTTGTATGATAAGGGCAAAATGTGAAGCAAAAGATCATCTTCTATGACAATACAAGCTAATTGATTGCTCCGAGTAATGCATCACGTTAGACAGTTTCGCAAAAGTTTCGTACCAATCTACGGTTAGATGATCAAGATAAAATAGACGTAATGATACTCCGGTGATGTAGAAGCGCTAATTTGTTAAGTCAATAATGGTAATTGAAACTCAACCGTTTAATTATTGGAGTAAAATATAAGCCACATGTGTGTTATTTCATTACATTGCAATTTGGTTTAATGCAAAATTATATATACGGAAAGTTTATTTATCGTTTGTCATCTGCGATAAAAAGCAAAAGATGAATAAATTTATGAAACGAAAGAATAGGAAACTAATTCTATTATTTCTATTATTTCTATGTTTTAAATAAAAACATAGAAACATTTTAAATTATTATTTAACTTTGTGTATTAAATTTTTAAAATATTTCTATTTAGTAGAATTATAGTAGAAAATTATAGTAGAATTTATATAATATTTATAATATTAGATACTTTCTTTTGTATTTATAACCGCGCGATAATAATTATAGCTCGCTCAACTATTCTTTTCGTCAAATATTTGCATGTCGTCATTATTGTGTATAATATTCTTTTTATCATAAAAAGAATTCTGTTCTCCTCACCTACCATCGTTGTTTTATTCCGTCATAAAGATAAAAAATGTTAGATCTTTTTTCGCATTATACATTGGTTTATTATTATATATATATATATATCATTGCGTTAAACGATAATTAATATTGATCTTTTTAGAAAATCATAATCGAAACATCAATCAACTTATTAATAAATAAAATAAATTATTACAAATATATTATTCTAGCTTATTTATAATAACGATCTGTTTTCACGTCATCATTTCTAAATGTCTTTTAACAATTTCTGTCTCAATATCATAAGTGGGCATGAAAAATATTTTTATATCCAGTAGAGTTATGGGTTATGGGTTTCTTTTAATTTCTCAATAAAGGTCAAAATTCAACTTTTCATTATCATTATTGTTTGGAACATTTAAAATGTTTCTTAAATATTACCAAAAGTATTAGAAAACGAGTTTAGAACAGTTTTATAGAATAAAAGAGAAAAATATAATAGGGGTTGTACAATTTTTCATTAGTTCTTCTTTCTTTCCTTTCTTTCTCCCTTCCCCTCCCCCTTCCTCTCCCTTCCTCTCATTATTTATAATCATAGATAAATATAAAAAAACTTTTTCTTTAATCTCTCAATGAAATAAAAGAAAAATTTGAACTATGCAGGCCACTTTTTCAAAAAAGATACTTTTTGATACTGTTCTAGAAGAAATATTGTAATTATGAGTCTAACAAAAATATCTCTATAATATAGATTATATCAGAATATTATAGAATAGATAAGTAGATATACAAGTTACTGCATTATCAGCGGTAGATTTACTATGCAAAATTATGGTGAAACTTTTGTATATCGATCGACGGTTGTGTCATGCTCGACTGTGCCCAACTATGTTATGACGAAATGTGTATCATACTATTGGACTGCGCAACATCAGCGTTGTTATCACTTGACTATACTGTCATGTAATAGTTATCACTTGGTCGCAACATCAGTACAGTTACCATTGGAGTTTGCCATCACACTATTACGTGTATTTACAAACGAAGTCAGCATAGCGGCGTATCCTCATAGGGGATAGCTTCCTTCCATCGGCTCGCGATCAATACTGGGATGGATAAAAGTACAGAAACTGTTTTCTTGCGAGCATTGTACGTACTCTCGTGGCATCTCAACTTCTCAGAGAGCTCTATCTGATATGCGATATAAACTTTCCATATATACGTTCGTTTCTTCAGTACAAAATAAATATTTGTTTACACACCGCGTACAAAATATTGTCACACATAAATGTTGCGTTTTGCGGGGAACGTTACTGTCAGGGGAAATCTTGGAGAACTTGTTGAGAGTGAATTTTTTATTCTATAGCGTGCTTAAGCACGCGATATTCTCGCGAGGACAAAACGGCGAAGATGAAGAGACAGAATGTCAGAACCCTATCATTGGTAGTGTGCACATTTACGTATCTTCTGGTCGGTGCCGCGGTATTCGACGCTCTTGAATCGGATACCGAGAGGAAACGCTGGGAATTTCTCTCGGGTAAGTCTGTTCTCGCTATGTAAATTCACAAATATTACAAAATATCACAAAATTTTTAAATAAATTGATAATTAATAATTAATTATTTCTGCTACTCGCGTGCGGCGGGAAATATATCGCTATATAGAAATACGTCGTAATATGATGAAAAAGTACAATATTACGCCAGAGGATTATAGGATGGTCGAGATCGTAATAATAGAGAACAAGCCACATAAAGCGGGACCGCAATGGAAATTTGCGGGTGCCTTCTATTTTGCCACTTTAGTATTAGCCATGATTGGTAAGTCATACATTTGTATTATCAAAAATTTCTTATATTTTTAATGCAGACATTGAAACAGTCCTAGAGATGAATAGTAAACTCAAATCTTAATTAAAAATTTTGAAAAAATTTTTGTATCATACTAAAAGATATTTGTGTATGATTAAAATAAAACCGTCATAAAAATGAGAGAGAGAGAGAGAGAGAGAGAGAGAGAGAGAGAGAGTAGTGTAGTGTGTGGTAGTGTTAGTAGTTAGTTAGGTTAAGTTATGTAGTGTGTGTGTGTGTGTGTGTGTGTGTGTGTGTGTGTGTGTGTGTGTGTGTGTGTGTGTGTGTGTGTTGTGTGTATATTGGTGTGGTGTGGAGAATTTTATTTTAATAAAAATTCTTAAATACATATATATAGGTAATTTATGTAAAAGATATAATTAAGTTATAAATTTTTTGCAAGGTTACGGACATTCTACTCCTGTAACTAAAACTGGAAAGGCATTTTGTATGGTATATGCGATGGTAGGGATTCCTTTGGGACTGGTAATGTTCCAGAGCATTGGCGAGAGATTGAACAAATTTGCATCGGTCGTGATCAGACGAGCAAAGACATATCTCAGGTGTCAAAGAACCGAAGCTACTGAGATGAATCTCATGCTAGCGACTGGTCTCCTCTCAAGTATAATTATTACCACAGGTGCTGCGGTATTTTCAAGATATGAGGGTTGGAGTTATTTTGATAGTTTTTATTACTGTTTTGTAACGCTCACGACCATAGGTTTCGGTGATTATGTCGCTCTTCAGGTAAATAGTATCTGGCTAATGGTGAGAGAAGCAGTAAGATTTATAGATGAATTACTTTTCAGAATGATCAAGCGCTTTCCAACAAACCTGGATATGTAATTTTGAGTTTAGTCTTCATCCTATTTGGCTTGGCCGTAGTTGCCGCCAGTATTAATTTGCTAGTACTGCGTTTTATGACGACGTAAATATATTTTCTATAATAGAGTAGATTAGTTTACACATATCTAAGAAATATAATTAGTTTTCTATGAAACATCCGCTTTTAGAGATTCCGGTGAGGCTCGTCGCGATGACACAGAGCTGCAATCTGCCTCGCATCACGTTTTGACACTAGACGGCGAGGTTGTGGCGGTAAATGGAAAGCTTCTCGCCAGTCATGTTCCTATCGTGCACGATACGGATGATTGTGTCAGCGTATGTTCCTGCACCTGTCTTGGGCCAGCAAATTCCGAGCTGCTTGATCCTTCCGGGTATCAGGGTTACCGACCACCCCCAACTTCCGCCAGTCTTCGTGTGAAGCGCGCATCCGTCTGATGGAGGGAGTTTCGTCGTCGCAGTCTACGTCGCCGACTTACAAAGGCCGACAGCCGAGAATTGCTCGGCATCGATGTTTAAGAGCTCATTTTCCGCACAAAATCCCTCATGAGAGAATACCTGTGATACATCCACAGAGGACAGTTTCTAACATTTGGTACAGATTTTCACACCTTATGTGAAAAGCAAAAATTAAAAAAAACTATCAATGTTTAATGTTTGATATGTGTGATCAAAACTCTGATTGTTGATCATTGTTCGAATCCTTCAAGGCGAACACTTTTATAATGTGTTCCTGCTGCATTTCCCACGTTACATCGACACGTAGTCTTAAACAAGTTGACACATTTTGATAATCAATGTTGTTCGACTATATCGATTTTTGACGCATGGATATGTATATGTAATAATAACAAGTATATAACGCATATTATTATCGACTTGTTATATGAATATTAACGAGTAATGTCATAATAATTATTTCAATCGATAAACATTACGAAACATTGATGGTCTGGATCCAAGTGGTGATTTTTGTAATATTGCGTGCATCTTAGAAAAAGTAGAACATCTAGTATTTGGACGAAAGAGTGAGTGAGTGAATGAGTGAGTGAGTGAGCGAGCAAGCGTGCGTGCGTGCGTGCGTGCGTGCGTGCGTGCGTGCGTGCGTGCGTGCGTGCGTGCGTGCGTGCGTGCGTGCGTGCGTGCGTGCGTGCGTGCGTGCGT